TTTTTTTTTTAAGAGGAAGAGTAAGAGTTTGTTTTGTGAGTTAACGTTGGGTTCTGGGTCCTCTGCTTCCGCACGCTGGAAGCTTGGGCCGGCCCTGCAGCTTTCCTCCCATTCTTCCCTACAGGCTCCCAGCAGCCGTCTCAAGCCCTGGAAATCTTCCTCATTCACTTTGGAAGAGCAGGTTCAGGCTGAGACTAGGCCTCACTCTTCAGTGTGTGTGGAGAACACAGAGGAGAGAACCTGAAAAGCCTTTATTCCTTAAAAGTCCCCCTCAACTCACTCTTTCCTTGGAATTCTAGCAATTGAACTGCATCCTCTTAACCTCATTCGAGAACTTTTATGTCCCAGTGCTAGATGTTAGACACAAGAGAGAAAGATAAGTAACACGTAGCTCCTGCTCTGCCAGCTCACAGTTTGTTATGAGGCTTTTGATTGCCTTGGAGAAGATGCTGTTGAAAGGTGTATTCAGCCGTGTAAACCTTAGTGAGAATGAAAGCTAGACACGGGTTTTGTTTTATAGAGTTGGGGACACTTGGGTGAGGGAAGAAGAGAATACTGCCCAAGAAGACATTACAAATACGTGGGAAAGACCTTGGCACTTTTTGTTAAAATGAGTTTATTTTTAAAATTCTGAAAGGGAAATACATTCATATGGTTAAAAAATGTTACAAGTATATTACGAAATTCTCTCTCCTTACCCTTGTTCTCCATCTGTCTAATTCTTATTTCAGAGTTTCTTTGTGTAAATATAAGCGGATATGAATATATGTTTTATTTACTTGTCCCCTCTTTTAACATAATGGTAGCATGCTCTGTACATTATCCTATATACCGGGGGGAAGGGGTGCCAAGAAAATGTACACATTTTAAGAGATGTTACCTATGTATTACTTTTCGAAGTTGAATTGAATAATGGTAGCAATGTGTAGTATAACGCTCGCTCAAAAGATGGCGTTAATCAAATGAATGCTAGTGTCATTCATTGTATTATAATTTTAATACAGTTTTTTCCTTTCTTAATATGTGTATACACTTTTTGGCACCCTCTGTATTTTCTTTTATTACTTAATATCTTATGGAGATTTTTTTAATGTGAATACATACAGAGCTTATTCTTTTCTATGGTCATATACTATTTATGGATTTAATTAATAAGCTCCTTATTGAATGGACATTGAGGTGCTTGCTCATATCTTACTATTATGATCACTGCTGCAACGAATAATCTTATATATACATTGTACATCATTTAGCATGTGTACTAATATACGTGCAAATTCCTAGTAGTGAAATTGTTGCATCAAGGGCTTTATGCATTTGTAATTTTGATACCCATGCCAAATTGCCCTCTGTGGAGTTGTTAACAGCTTACACACCAATCAGCTATGCCTGTTTTCCCCATAGTTCCACCTACGGAGTTTTTATCATACTTTGGATTTTTACCAATTAGATTGGTGAAAAATGGGCTAGCAGTGAAGTTTTAACTTCTGGGCTTTTTTTCATTTTATTTTGTTTTTTATGGTGAGTGAGGTTGTGCATCTTTTCTTAGAGTTGAGGCATTGGTATTTCCTTTTATGTGAAATGCCTTTTCATATTCTTTGTCTCTTTCTTTTGCTGATTTTTTGCTTGCCAATTACTAGGAGCTCTTTATGTAATAGGAAGCTTACCCTTTTTGATATGAGTTGCAAATATTTTCCACAGGGTTTTGGGCGTTTTTTTAACTTATGGGGTTTTTTTTTTTGCCCTGCAGAATCTTGATTTTTATATTGTTGAATTTATCGTTTTCTTTATGGCCTTTGCATTATCCTGCCCCCTATTGATGACACAAAATCATCCATTCCTCCTTCCACAGTGGTTGCTCACTCTCTTCCTACTTCAATCTCGGATTGACAGCAAAAACCTTTTGGTAACTTCCTCCCCAGGTCTGTTCCTGAGACTGTATTCTTTGTCATTGATAGGGTAGTCCTTGATAATTGTGTTAGGAGATTTCAGTGGTCTTAAAATCCCCCACTTCCTTGTTTGGAGATACTCTAGAAAACTGGCAGTTTCTTATAAAACTAAACATGCAATTATCATACAACTCAGCAGTTGCTCTCTTGGGCATTTATCCCAAAGAAATGAAAACTTATGTTTACACAGAAACCTGTACAGGCTGTTTATAGCAGCTTTGTTTGTAATAGCCCCAAATTGGAAACAACTCCGGTGTCCTTCAGTGGGTGAATACTCTGGGACGTACATGCAGTGGAATACTACTCAAAGGTAAAAAGGAATGAACGATTGATGTGTGCAACAACTTAGATGAATCTCTAATGTATTGTGTTAGGTGAAAAACATCAATCCCCAAAGGTTACAGATTGCATTATTCCAGTTATAAAACATTTTTGAAATGACAAAGTTTAGGAATGGTGAACAAATTAGTGCTCGTCAGGGGTTAAGGATAGAGAGGGGCATGAAAGAAGTGGATGTGGTTAGAAGAAGCAACACAAGAAATCCTCGTGTGATGGAATGGCTCAGTATCTGACTGAGGTGGTGGGTACATGAATCTCTATATGTGAAAAAATGGTGCAGAACTAAATGCACAGACACACACAAGTGAGTGCAAGTAAACTGGGGACATCTGTATAAGATAAGTGGATTGTATCAGTGTCAGTATGCTGGCTGTGATATTGTATTGTAGTTTTTGCAAGATGTTACCTTTGGGGGAAACTGGTTAAAGGAGGACACAAGAGCCTGTACACAGGATCTCAATAAAAATCTCAATTAAAAAACAAATCCCCATTTCTGCAAATACCAGCCTCACCAAAAGCTGCTATGTAGAGGCAGGTTCAGCAGGAGTAACTGGTGTTTTCTGCGTAAGATCAGCAGTGGAACAGCTGGGGACCTAGTGCTGGCAGTGGGATGTGGGGAGCAGAGCAGCAACTGACACGTCCAAGGATTCTCTGGGGCAGCCCACCTAGGGAGCTCATCTTGCAGTCTGTTTTGGGGGGGAAAGAACACTGGCTTAGGCTCCAATGCCTCAGAACCAGAGGGTCTGACATTGGTGGTTGGGGGCAGGAATGGGGTAGGGTTCCCAAGAAGAGCTTTGATATGGGTGGGTCCACCTTTATCACGCCCAGCATGTACCTCACTGTCATGGGGGTTTTTTGGGGTTTTTTTAAGATTTTTTTTATTCGGGAATTGGGGAGAGGGGAACAGACAGGTAGACAAATTGCTGTTTTGTTCTTCAGTCTAGTTGTGGAGGACGTCACTTCACTGGCCCATGTTGGTATGATCATTGTGCTCTTCCCGGGTGAGGCAATCGGTTGCCGGTCATTGGTCGGCTGCTCACAGTGGCTCCTGGCAGCTCACAATGGCTGCCGGCCGCTCACGCTGGCTGCCAGCCACCTGCGTAGCTCACGGCAGCCCACTGCAGCCCTGCTGCAACCTACGCCGTCGCCGGCGACTCACAGCAGCCCAGCTCCAGGTCGAGCTTTTGTTCATCATCTTAGCTGTAGAGGGCGAGCGGCACTGGCCCTCAATGTGGGATCCGAACTGCGGCCCTGCTGCTCAGAGCTGGTGCTCCCACGCGAGCTCTTAACCAGCTGAGCCACTCGGCTGGCCCACTGTCATGTTTTTTTTATGTACCTTGTGCTGTGCCTTTGGCTCTGGTATGAGACAGAACATGGATTAGCACAGTGCTTCTCAGAGTGTGGTATGGGAATCCCTGAGATCCCCAGGACCCTGCTAGGGAGTCTCTGAGGTCAAAACCATTTTCACAGTTATACTTAGATGTTAGCTAATTATGCTCATTCTCTTACAAGTGTACAATGGAGTTTTCCAGAGGTTACACGGTGTGAAATAGCAACAGATTAAATGCAGAAGCAGATACGAGACGCCAGCTGTTTTCTATTAAGCCGGACATTAAAAAGACTTACAAAAATGTAAACTAATGCCACTCGTCTCACTTTTTTGTTTTGGAAAATATAATTTTAAAAAAATATGTTATTTATGTTAACATGTAATGGGGTTATTACTGCTGTTTTTAAATGATTTAATAACTAAGAATTTTCTCAGTTTAATTTTTAATAGGTGAATATTGATATAAACTACATGAGCCAAAGCTCTTTGGGGTCCTCAGTAATATTTGAGAAGCGTAGGGGGTCCTAACACCAAAAAGCGTGAGAACCTTCGGCTAGCAGAAAGCACCTGGCCAGAAGCCGGTAGGCGTGAGTTCTCATCAGGGCTCTGCCGTGTGACCCAGGGACAAGGCATTTAGCTTCTGTGATTGATTTCTTCTTCTGTAAATGCTAACAAGCATCCTGCTCTATACATCTGAAAGAATAGTAAGATAACTCTAGATGAAAGGCTTTGAAAATATGATGTCCTTTACACATGTAAGGGAATTTCATAGCTATGCGACTAAACTGATGTGAGAAAATGTGAAGAATGAGGTTCATAGTGTGTCAGCGGACATCCTGTTCACTTTTTAAGTTTGTTCATGTTTGCATCTCCTCCTACCAGTTTCCTCATACATTTTATTTCTTTTTCTCAGTTTCTCAGACAACCATTTTAAGTATTAAAAGGAATTAAGTAAATACATCTTCCAAAGTTTACCATCAAGAAGAGATTCACGTTCCTGATACCTTAAAGTTGTGTCGCAAGGCCAGGCGTGCTAACTTGGAGAAACCACTTACTCGCTATGTGAGTTTAGGGAAGTTAACTTCTCTGTGATCTGGGTTCCTCATCTGACAAATGGGGCTAATGATACCTTACTTTCCAGGAAGATTATGAGTATGAAAAATAACACACAGGAAGCGCTGTGCCAAGTGCTTGGCACATAATAGATGCTCCGTAAATGATGGTTGCTATGATTGTCCTTAGCATATAACACAAGATGCAAGATTAAGTTTAGGTCTCCTACCCAGTCTTCGGTAAGGTTATTATTAAGCTACTTTATTCACCAGTTTGTTATCACTAGTTTTCATTGCATTTCATTTCATTCTTTTTTCTCTGCTTTGAAGGGCTATTGAGTGGCCAGACTTCCCCAACAAATACCAAACTGGAGAAACTGGACTCCCAGCAGGTGTTGCAGCTCTGCCTCCGGTATCAGGATCACCTCCATCAGTGTGCAGAGGCCGTCGCTTTTGATCAGAATGCTTTGGTTAAACGAATCAAAGAGGTAAGTATTATGGAAAAATAATGTCGCTAACTCATTATTGTGATTCCCTGTGACCCCTGAGTCCTTTTCTACTGGGCAGTCGAGCCAGTGAGTTTAGCTTTATGGGAAGCAGTCATTTTCTATCTATGTTTTGGGGATCATTTTTCCTAGCAGTAAAATGTGATGGTGAAAAAAAAGTGGTCTATACAGCTAGACCAATCTGGAGTTTGAATCCTGGTTTACCATTTATTTGCTTGGATGAGTTATTTAACTTCTCTTGGTCTCAGTTTCCTCATCTGAGAAATGGGGCTAATAGTAGTAACCTACCCCAAAGGTGGAATGAAGAATAAATTGCTCAGTAAGTGTTAGCTGTTATTAGTATGTGTAACATCCTGACGTACTGATTTGCTCTAGCTAACATTATATCTTCAAATTGACTTTAGCTGTTTCCTATGTGTAATTTATGTTTTATTTTCTAATGGTATCAGTTCTTTGAGAGCAGAAGCCTTGATATATCCCTAACGATAGTATTTTTCACTGTGTTAGCACCTGAAAAGCTCAGTGATTCTTATCGGTTGGGTGAAACAATTATGCCTACTTAATTCACAAGTAAACCAAAGAGCATGGTACAAATATTGAGTAACTATTGATAACTTCTTTTAAGCACTTAAATGTATCATTGCATGGCACACCTCTGGAAGCACCAAGGTATCAGTAAATACATTTTCCAAAGTTTTCAATCAAGAAGGGATTTATATTCCTGATACTTTAAAGTGGTGTCATATCAAGAAAAGGTCAGAAAGTCTGTCTTGGAGAAACCACTTAGGTGAATGGCACCCCATGGAGTTGTTTAACAAAATACAATAGTTCTGGTCATTAACTCAGGCCAGAGAAGCAGGTGGACATGAGGAAACACACAAGTAAAGGGGTGAGAATCACAGCAAATTAATTATCTGTTAGTAATAGACATAGTTCATCCTTGAGATTACAAAGTAGTTGATAGCTATACTGAGAGATTCAAATTTACTAATATCTCCAACACATTCGTACTTAACTTTCATAAAATGTTATATGCATATATGCTTCTCTCATGGAAGTCTTTTATTTGGAAGACTATTAAATATGACCTTTCACATTGGTTGGCATTGGTGTGGCCTTTCAAATAGTATAAACTATTTTACTACATTATGATCTACATAGCTTTTAGTCCCAAACATGACTATGCATTACAATCTCTTGGGTGTTTGTTTGTGTAATACTGAGTTCTCCTCTGCTCCCAGTAGTCTGATATGCAATCTGTGATCATTATCTTAATAACATTACCAAATGATTCTGATGCTGTTCTCCATTACCTGGGATTTGGAGACCACTGGCCTAGAGCCCTGTTATCCAAAATAAGTTCTACAGAACTAGTCCATGTAAAGATCAAACTTTTTGCATATTCCCTCACCACCTTGGAAAGTCACAGTGCATATTATCTTATTAAAGGTTCTTAGGAATCTTACAGTAAAGAAAATCAGCACTTTTCAAACTTTTTGACCTCAGAACTCTTATATTGGGTAACATCTATTAACATCTTACAGAAGTAGCTTTTTTTTTTTTTAGGACACTCTTTGTAGACGTAAGAAAGACCTTACCATTTTTTACTATTGTGCTAGAAATTAAGATGACATTAACTCTCAGAAGATGTTAGAATGAATCAACTTTTTAATGCTTTTGTTTTCTTTTTGAAAGGTGCTCTAATCTATGTTTGTAGTTTTGTAGTTTAGGAAAAGGTGGTATAGAAAGATTAACTCATACCAAACGGTGCTCCTCATTATACCACATTTTCAAGACTCCAGAGCCCTGAATACGTTTTAGAATCACGTGGGATTTTTTTACCTCTAATGTATATGATGGGAAATTTTACACACACACCCTGGAGTAGACAAAGAACTGTGAACCTTCATGTACCCAGTGCCCACTACTGCCTGCATCAACTTGTAAACACTCTTGTTTCATCCATACTCCCCTCACTTTCTGCCACCTCCTCAACTGGTCTACTTTGCAGTAAATCTCAGGCATATATAATTTCATTCATAAATATTTAAGTATGTATTTTTAAAAGTAAAGGACTCTTTTAAAAATCTTTTTAATTTCAATTTTAGACTTACAGAAAAGTCTCAAAAATAACTCAGAGAGTTCCTATATTCCCCTTACTCAGCTTCCTCTGAAGTGAGCATCTTACAGAACCTTAAGTACAATGATCAAAACCAAGAAATTAACTAAGTGAAGACCGTATTTGAATTTCTCCGTTTTTCCACTAATGAAGAACTCCTTTTCAAAAACACAGCCACATTACTGTTATCATACCCAAAATATTTAACAATAATACCTTAATTCATTCAGTATAGCTGAAGTGCTTTTAAGAAAATAATGATTTGTAGGTCTCACGCTAAACCAGTTAGATCAAAATCTTTGAAGGGTAGTGGGTGGGGAAGGGAGGAAGTTGAACGTTGGTATTTATGAGAGTGCCCTAGAATCTGTCATCAGCATTGAGAACCAGTGTTCTGGGGCATTCATTTAAAACAATCAAGCTGAGTTTAAAATTCTGTTTGAGGAACTTTTGGATTCACTTTGAGCAGTCAGTAGCTATACAGGATTGTTAGAAAACCTAGAACAGCACTCACAGTACTGAGAAGTACCTCCCTAGTTCTCTTAGGGAGGAGGAGGTGAGCACTGTTTCAGGGTTTTCACTGGTGACTTGTCTCTGTTGGAAAGTGCCAGCAAACTCCTGAAACAGACACACCCATCTGTGTTCACTTCAAACCTAAGAGTTGAAATTAGTCATTTCTAAATGAATAAAGCAGAGGATGTAGTTTTGCTCAAACACTAAATCTCTGATATTATTCCAGATGTTTCCTGGAAATTTGGTTGCGAGAGTGAGGAAGCAACATAACGCTATATGTGTTGAAAAGTAAGGGAACTTAACCATGGAGAATATGTATTAGTGGAAGGGTAGAACCTGGATCAAGCAGACGCCCATAAAGTTACAGTGCTTATGATCATTTACAGTGCTTTTGATCATTGGGTCAAAGGGAAACATGGCTATAACTGTGTCTGATTCAGACAAAAGGAAATCAAAGAGCTTTCCTGTTGCTAAATTTGGATGATGCTCTTGAATGACAAGTTTATGTTTTATGAATGTATGTATGACAGAGGAGTAGAAGATAGGGTGAGACCCTGTCTTCACAATCAGGGAATCTTGCAATGTACACTGACCACTACACAGAGTGACCCCTCAGTCAGCCAACCAATGGTTGCTGAGCAACCATTGCAAACCTACTGAGTGTGAGTTCCTTTCGGGTTTACAGGGAATTGTGACAGCCCTTGCTCGCTGAGAGTCACTCCAGGTGAGGGAACAAAGAGACACTGAAGGTAATATTAAAGCTAAGGCGCTATCTATGGAGAGTGCTCAATTGTGGTTTATAATTGAAGTTCTCTAAGAGTTAAAGATGAGGATATCCTGGAGCAGGTGAAGTTTAAGTTAGGTCTTAAAGGAAAACCAGAATTTGGGAAATGAATGGAAAGAGAGAGCATTGCTGGATGGGGGAACAGCTTGATAGTCTTAGAAGAAAATTGACTTCAGAGTTTCGGGGAACAGTAAAGAAATTAAGCTTGGTCAAAGAAATCTCTACATTAAGAACCACAGAATGTTGGAGTTGGAAGGACCTTGGAGACCTTGTGGTCCAAGGCCTTCATTATTTAGATGCAGAAATTGAAGACTGTTAGAGGAAGTAAGCAATTTATCCAGGGTCACATAGTGAGATAGTGGCTGAAATTACAGAATTAAAAATGAAGACTGAGGGCCGGCCGAGTGGCTCAGTTGGTTAAGAGCTCGCTCAAGAGTTTGAGCTCTGAGCAACAGCGGTTCGAGTCCAGCCCGAGCTGAGCAGCNCTCAAGAGTTTGAGCTCTGAGCAACAGCGGTTCGAGTCCAGCCCGAGCTGAGCAGCCGCTGAGCTGCCAACAGGTAGCAGGATGGCTCAGCTAAAAGAAAAAAAAAAAAAATGAAGACTGAGGGAATGATCCAAGATGGCAGAGTAGATACACACTGTGCTTGCCTCATCCCATGAACACATCAAAATTACAACTAAGTTATAGAACAGTCAGCCTGGAAAACCATCTGAAGTCTAACTGAACAGAAGTTTTATAACTAAGGATATAAAGAAGCTGCGTTGAGACTGGTAGGAGCGGCAGAGACGCGAAACGAGCTAGCCCGCAACATCCATGTGGCAGATGAAAATGGGGAGGGATATCTTGGCCACAGAGTTCCCCCACGGAGGAACAAGGGATCCCAGCCTCACACCAGGCTTCCCATCCAGGAGTATTGGTGCAGAGAAAGGAGCCCCCACAACACCGGGCTGTGAAAAACAGTGTGAATTCAGACCGTCGGGGTGGGATGGAAAGCTGTGGGAAACCCAGCCATCCTCTTAAACAACCCGTGCACAGACTCACAGGGACTCACCCTGGGCTCCAGTGGAGGGTCGGTGACTCGGGGGCATCAGAGGCACACGGGGAGCAGACTGAGGTGTGTGGCCTTGGTGGGGGCGGGGGGCGGCCCTGGAGGACAGTCGGCAATTTTCCTGTTTGGTTCTTCCTTCCTCCTGTGCAGCTGGTAGGCTGTCGCCATCTTTCCTGTGTAGAGCCCTCCCTCTATGCTTATGGCCAAATCTGAATCTGATTGGCCTGGTGAGCCCTGAAGCTCCTCCCTTTGAGTCACTGAGACCCCGCCACACCCAACCCCTTACCACAGAAGGCTTTACCTGTGGCTGAACCTTACTGGAGCTGGCAACTGGCAGCAGGCAGCAAGCGGCCTCGGTGTGTCATGACTTTTTGCAGAGCTACCCCAGACCTGGTACTGGTGGCAGCCGTCCTCAGTTCACAGCATGGCCTCTCCCACACACCTCCAGGTCCAGCACAGGCAGGGACCAACTGAGGATCACATTGTAGCTCCTACCAGCTAGTCCCTGAACAGTCAAAG